TGCACAGAACAGAGAACCCACGCAGAAAGCCTTACATTTTAAATCTACAAAAAAATCTTCCCAAACTTTTCTAGCCTTAATGCTTAATGAAAACATCTACATACATTTATTAAAAGAGCTAAGGGAACTGAAATAACGGCAGTAGGAGAAGCCATTTCCCCCTTGAAACAAAACAATAACCGTGACACTCTCTTTATCTGCCCGTTTTCCTTTCAAGGGTCTCATTCAAAAGCTCAACAGATTTCATTAACCTAATTAACGCCACTGGGTGGAGTATTTGTCCCCAAATGTCTTAGCAGCCTAGCTAGAAACAATTCATTTGAACCTGCAACTAAGCTACTGTTCATAACAGGAGTCGAAAGCGACACACTACTTGGTTCAGCCCACCCAACATAATGTAACATGTTCTGCTTTTTGCTATAAATAAATAACTGTTACAACATGTATTTCAACATGATGCATGGAATGACAGCCGTATAAAAGCCTGTGCCTGAGACGGGCTTCTGCATTTTTAAATGCCTCAAAAGCACCTTTACCTTTAGCATGATCGGTGCAGACCTGGAAAATGTATTTACAAAAAAAAATGATTTTTAAAAAGTTTTGGTGACACACAATTTCAGCTGAAAGCAATTCCTGAGAACTATCCCACACTGTCTAGCATTATAAAACCAATCAATACATATTAGCATTAAAATACAGACACAGGAAGAAGCTGCATCATATTTCTAAGATGACAAGTTGAGATTTACGTTGTCTCCATCACAACTTAGTATTTCCTTATTTGAACTTCCCCAGTTGTCATCTTACAACAAGGGGTTGTTTTTATTATAGTCAACAGACTCTCATTTGACTATACATTGTTTCATCTGTATTTTTCCATTTCCTTTCTGGATGGCCTCTATACAGACGGCAACCTTCAACTTTTAAGGGAAAACTAAACGCTAGAAAGATTATAGCTACTGACCAGCTGAAGGATGTGAGCTGGTTAATCACTTGCCTTTTAACTGAATTAAATGTAAGTTCTGCTCATTATCAAAACCTTCTAAGATACCCAAAGAAGGGTGAGTCTGAACTGAAAATCAGGAAGGTTACCTATCCTAGTTAGGAGGACACCGCCTTTAATGATCTCTCTCTGTCTTGTTCCCTTTTGCAGTAATAAGACAAAACATATGTAAACACTCAAAACGTGAAAATAAAATGGGCACAACAACAATTGCTGTGAGGTTGGCCTTAAGACCTTTTTACCTATTTCCACTTTTACACAGTACTTTTGATGACTGCAGTTTTGCTTTATATTATATGTATATAAAATAGAATTAAAATATATAATATTTAAATATTTGATATGTCATTTATTTTTTGCCTTAGGGGTGCTTCACATAACCAGCTTCTACAGGGACAACTGAACTGATAGCTCAAACGCTTACACGGCCAGACTTATTAACCTCTTTGGCGGAAACATCTTGATCCTGGGATAGGGTTGCCAACCTCCAGGTGGGATGCAAGATGAAAGGCAGTGGCGCAGCAACATATGTAAACAAGAAAAAAAATGCACGTGCCCAAATTTTAACACCAAAAATAAATGAATTAATAAATTATATAGATATGACATATATAGTACTCAGAACAAATTCTCCTAAGACACAATAAATAGACAGGTAGAAATTCACAGGTGGAGTTTCCCCAAAAACAATTTGTAATTATAAATTCAAAAAAAGTCCTTGAACTGTAAGGACGTAGTAGCGTCTCTGCCAGCTGACTCGACAGACGCCCGGCGATAAATCCGTTTCAAGAATTTTTTTTTTCAGAATCATGCTGGATTTAACATTTCAAATATACATGTAGACATCCATAAAGTATATTCAGATACAGCGATCCTCAGTGATTCCCAATAGAGAATCAATCATTCCTTGGAACCTCCCTTCAAAACTCTGAAGCATTTCACCACTAGGCCATTTTCATTAGAGGGAAAGGTTTCATTAGAGGGAAAGCCTTATATTAACCTCTTTGGTGAGAACATCTTGATCCTAGGATAGAGTTGCCAACCTCCAGGTGGGGGCCGGAGATCTCCCAGAATTACACAAATCACTTATTACTTATTTGAAATATTTATTCCACTCCTCCTGGAGGGAAAAAAATGGCTGCATTGGAAGGTAGACTGCATGGCGTTATACCCTACCAAAGTCCCTTCCCCCCGCCAGACCCCACTCCCCCAGGTTCCACCCTCAAATCTCCAGGTATTTCCGAACCTGGAGTCAGCGACCCTATCCTGGGAGTATCAACAGCCATCCGCCTGAGACAGAGTCTGGACTTCTTTCATCGTTTAGGATCAGCAACAATATCAAACATCAGCAGAAACAGATAGCTGACGACAATTTAAGGCAACCTATAGTGCATGTTTTATACAGATCAGAAAATGCTACAAATGTATTGTCTTACACATTCAGGCCCTATCTCACTGACTTCGGCGTGACTCAGAACAAAAGCGTAAACATTAAAAAGCCATCAAGCCCCTCAGAAAAATACAACTTCAGCAAATCGTGCATCGGCGGTCTCTCTAACAAACAGGGAGACGTTACTAAGAGCATGCGAGACGTGAACAATCATCAAAAGCCCAAATGGATTTACGGTTCCATGCTGTTTCATGGCATGAGTGCACTAGCTACTAGCTGAAATACACTTCCTTTCAGTTCCGCCCCCCAAAAAGAAAAGAGTTACTGCCCTTTATACTAGTTTCACTCCTCCTAGATCTACCAGATTTTTTTTCATATTGTAATTTATGCAGGCTTCCAGTCAATAGAAATAAATATAGTTCTCTTTTAAACCAGCACAGAAATCTATACAGAGCTCAATCAAGTCACAGAATCCAAAAGGAAACTCACTCGGTCTATAAACTGTGGCTTGCCAGTCGTATTGACAGAATGTTAAGGAAGGCCTTTCGTTATTTAGATTGTGGAGATACTGACTTAAGTCGAAGTCATATGAGAGATTTCAAGAAAAATATACCATGAGTTGTATCCCAACAATAATCTCCACTAGTGGAAGGAGGAGGTGATTCACACCAATTGTCCCCTGCCCCACTGTAGATCTCTGGTTCTCCTCTCTTGCTGTTCGTTGGGGACCCATGTCCCCAGCGGCAGCATTTTGAGAAGATCAATGGGCTTATGCAAGAGGAGGTGCTCAAGGAAGGGCAGACATTTTCAGGATCCATTCCACTGTTCCTAAAGTGTGCCTGTGTCTAAGGTAGACTATAAATCCTGGGTCCTCATCTCCACCTGAAATGGAGACCAAGGTCATGCAACCGCATTTGCATGCATTCAGCCCTCGTAACTTGGGCCCTTCCTTTCCCACTGCTGACAATTAGACTGCTAGCTCCTTGGGGCAAGGATTTCTTGCTTTTGCTTACTCTGCAAAGCACCACGTAAAGCGAAGACAGTACATTAATTACTCCTGCATAATGCAGGTCTTCACAAAAGAGCCTTTTTGGACATCCAACCTCAAGTCTTGAAGCGGCTGTGAAGCGATTTGACCCGACCTCTCTAGGAATTCCATGCAACTCCCAACAAAATATAAACAAAGAGTACACAAATACCCAACCTCCTGTACTAGACTGACAGTGCAATTACCATTAGCTGAGAATCTTTTTTTTTGTACAAACAAGCAACTTACCACTATGGAGACATTAGGTAGAGATTAATCATACAACACTACAAAGAGAACTGAATTGCTGCAGTAGCACGTTATCTACATAAGTCACACACAGAAAACATTTATACCTGAGACTTCTACAATGTGGAACCGGGGAATAATTCCACTGCAGCCTAGTTTAACACTCCTGTGCCTTTCAAACACCTTGCAGAGAAATACACTCTGCCCTGGTTAGCCTTTGACCCGACCTCTCTAGGAATTCCATGTAACTCCCAACAAAATATAAACAAAGAGCACACAAATACCCAACTAGACTGACAGTGCAATTACCATTAGCATTCCATGCAACTCCCAACAAAATATAAACAAAGAGTACACAAATACCCAACCTCCTGTACTAGACTGACAGTGCAATTACCATTAGCTGAGAATCTTTTTTTTTGTACAAACAAGCAACTTACCACTATGGAGACATTAGGTAGAGATTAATCATACAACACTACAAAGAGAACTGAATTGCTGCAGTAGCACGTTATCTACATAAGTCACACACAGAAAACATTTATACCTGAGACTTCTACAATGTGGAACCGGGGAATAATTCCACTGCAGCCTAGTTTAACACTCCTGTGCCTTTCAAACACCTTGCAGAGAAATACACTCTGCCCTGGTTAGCCTAGGTTAGGCCAGTCTCGTCAAATCTTGGACAGGAATCAGCACGAACTTCTGCAGATTTAGAGCCCCCAAACCCATGCTCAGGGAAGGTGCCTTTCCCGAACATTTACCGGGCTTTTGTCCAGTTCAGCCATTTAAACCTAACAGCTGAGTGGGACCGGGTCTGCAGCTGAGCTGTTAGGTTGAAATGACTGGCAACCATTTCAACCTAACAGCGGGGTGAGTCCGCCTATCAGCTGTTAGGTTTAAATGGCTGCGAGCCATTAAACCCGTCTGTTTCGCTCCCTCCTGCTTCGAAGCAAAGGGAAGCGAAACGGACGGTGTCAAAGGGCTGCCAGCCATTTAACCCTTCCCGGGCAATCCCCCCCTTTCTTCTGGCCATGATGAACCATGGCCAGGAGAAAGGGGAAACCAAACTCCTTGGACTGGCTCAGTTCGGGTTTTTTAGGTTTGTGCCCATCCTTAATCTTGGAAGCTAAGCATGGTCAGCCCTGGTTATTACTTGGATGGGAGACCACTAAGGAAGTTCAGAGACAGGCAATGGCAAATCACCTCTGTTTGCCTCTTGCTTGCTACAGGGTTTCCACAAGTCAGTTGTGACTTGACAGCACTTTCCACCACCAGACGAATACACTTGAGAGCCCTGGTGTAGAGCAATTAAACATACACGTGCTTACCCGCAGAGATGTCATCATCCACCAGATCGTGCTCTTCTTCTTGAACTTTGGTTTCTGTCCCTGACTGTTCTGGACTAGCAGTGGTGGTCTGAATGGCTTCTGTGGTCACTCCAGCTGAAACAAGTCAACCCACAGAAAACTTAAGTCCATCATGGTATTCCAAGAGTTACAGAACATACAGATCGCATCAAAGAGATCTTACAGAAATCTGATTCATGCTTCATTTCTCCCCTTCAGAAGACCTTACTAACCTAATTTTACCAGATTCTCTGAAGGTCCTAATAGGACAGAGGCTGGGTTCCTCGTGACCCACCTTTGTGACTGTTTTGGTCAAGAAGTTCTATTTCACCAAGGTCTGGTCATGCTACTCAAACGATGGCAAGCCAAAGGACACGGTCCTCTGAAGTGTGCGGCGCACAACAGTGGTCCTTCTGCCGGGCCACATACAGATTATTAACGTGTGAACCCCTTTTTAATAATAACCAGAAGCAGTAAAAATAATATAATTAATACATTCTTCCATCAGGCAATGGATTGCCCAGACCTTCTCTAACACACTACGGAACATTCTCTCAGCGACATATGATAAAGGTGACTCAAAGGATAATGCCAGTTAATGCTGCTTGCAATGTCAGGCATTGCCGCTTGGAATTCAGGCACGTGGCCCGCAGACACCACTCTCCCTCCCCTCTACAATATTTAAAGGGCCCTCCAGCTGTCAGCTGGAGGGCCCTTTAAATCTCTCCAGAGAGAAGGAAGAGGAGGGGCTGCGGGCGTTTGGGCTTGGGGGCAGGGCTTCCCCCACCGGCCAGCTGGCCGACGGCTGGTTGAACCCCCAAAAAGCAGGTAAACCCCTGCAAGGCCCGGGGGTCTGGCAACCCTACTGCATGGATTCAGCTGTATATCCCTTGTGTGTGGGGGGGGGCACATTTCCTGTTCTGTTAATTCCAGATACATTGTTCTGGTGACATTACTACAAAAGCCTAAAGAAAAGCAGCAAGCTGTTTTCTGGACTTGTATAACCTGTGACTAACTATTTTTTTTAAGCAGGCGCTTATTTAATTCCCCCCCCCCCCGGGGGGGCACTTGATTCCAACCTGCTACATGTCCAAATGAAAGTAAAAACTGAGACGATTCACACATTGGAGATCTCCCAAAATGCATTATGATGTAACAGGATGTGTAGGAAATGGTACAGTAGAGACCTGAAACGAATGAGGAGGGAAGGCCCTAGTTCAAATCTTATCTCTGCCATAAACTCACTGGGGGGGGGGGGGGGGGTTGTGGCGACTGGACACCTCCCACATCAGCAATATAGAGATAATACTTATCTATCTTATAGGGCTGTTGTGAATGGTACAAGAAGAAGTTGAGTCGGTTTTATACCCCGCCCTTTCCTTCCTCTCCCTACAACAGGCACCCTGTGAAGTAGGTGGGGCTGAGAGAGCTCTGAGAGAGCAGTGACTGGCCCAAGGTCACCCAGCTGGCTGCATGTAGCACAATGGGGAGTCAAACCCAATTCCCCAGATTAGAGTGCGCCATGTTTAACCACTATACCACAGGCACGTTTTAGGCTTTGAACATTGAAAATGCTAAGTATGATCACCGTTGTGGACATGCAAACTTACATAGATCAGACGGCTATGATCCTATTCTGCCATAAAAAGACAAAGAGGAAAAAGGCTACACGCAGGTACAAGAACATACGATAAATCAGGCCAAATACGCAGCCTCATTTGGGCAAATGCATGCGTCAATATTTATTTATGTTATTTGTAGCCCGTCTTTCTCACAGGCACTCAAGGCGGATTACACACAGTGAGCCAGCACTATAACAAAAAATGAGACATTCAGTAACCAATACATTAGGATGTTAAAATTCTGGAGACACCAGGAAGAATTGAAGCACAGCATTAAGTATTCACATGCCACATTAAGCGGTACAGAAATCACATAAGTAGGATTCTACTTACAATAAGCTAAACACAGCAGTATAGGACGCTGTCCTTAACCATTTATCCAAGCAGGTTTGTAAAACCATTCTGCGCAGTGCAACCCTATTGCCGGCACAGAAAAACCCTCTTGAACGGTTCGGTTTTGCATGGGTGCAATAAAGTCATTAGAACACTGGATTACCTAATTTAGCCACCATGCTGGTAAAACACCGCAAGTGCCACTTCAAAAGCGCAGGCAGCCTTCATAGAAAGCATAGTTTATACTAGCTTTTATTTAACAGGCTAAAACTGGAGCATATTATTTTAAAAGCAAGTAATCTGAGAGGCTTCAACCCATAACTTCCACAAGGGAGGGGGGAAATCATAAATAATAATAGTAAAAAAAAGAAAGAGCAGCAGCAGCAACCCAAAGACAAAAAGGAGAGGGGATGTGAAAAACAGAAATAAATCAGATGGAGACAGACTGTGAAATACGGCTCCTTTTTTTGAAATAAAGTCAATGAGCAGCAGCATGCATTACAAGGCCTGACCTCCCTTGTTCTCCGGTGCTTTCTGGATAGCTGGGTAAGACTCAGACCAATCCGCAAGCTTATTTTGTACACAGTTTATTAGTCCTCTATATACAAATTAGGGAATAAAAATGGGAAGTCCCAAATGTAGCAAGTGTAGCAAGTGCAATATGGTTGCCGAGGCACCATGCGGAGAGGCATTTTAATCCACTGAGCTCTAAAGTTTGGCTCTGTATTTCTCTGCTTCTGTTTCATCCTGTACATAAAGAGAGGCAAAGCTTCCTTGCATCTGATAAAGGGAACTCTGACGCTTGAACGTTTATACCCTGGAAATCTTCCTGGTCTGTAAGGAGCTACTGGACTCGAATGAATGTTGCTCTCCCCAGAGAAGTGACTCAGACTGGCTCCGTTCTTTTCCTTTGAAGGTGAATGATACAAAGACCTTTCTATTTTGCAGATGTTTGGGAACATGGCAAGATGCTTGTGGACCAAAGGCCGCTGTTAAAAACCGACTCTCTAATATTTCTTTGGCTGCTTTTATACAGCAGGCCACCCCAAGCCATTTTATAATGTTGTGGTTTTTTTGTCTTCCACATCAGCTGTGATATAGGCCTCTGTGAGAGCCTTAGGGATCCATGGAATGAGTAGAAGCTATAAAATATATTGGGGGAGGGGGCCGCACCAGAGCCACCATGGTGTCGTGGTTAAGAGCGGCAGACTCTAATCGGGAGAACCAGGTTTGATTCCCCACTCCTCCTCCACATGAGGCCTGCTGGGTGACCTTGGGCCAGTTCTCTCAGAGCTCTCTCAGCCCCACTATCTCACAAGATGCCTGTTAAAGGAAGAGGAAAGGAATGTGATTGTAAGCTGCTTTGAGACTCCTTAAAGGTAAAAGATAAAGGTTCCCTTGCTCGAAAGCCAGTCGAATCCGACTCTAGGGTTGTGGTGCTCATCTCCGTTTCAAAGCCGAAGAGCCAGCGCTGTCCAAAGACGTTTCCGTGGTCATGTGGCCGGCATGACTAAACACCAAGGCACACGGAACGCTGTTACCTTCCCACCGAAGTGGTACCTATTTATCTACTTGCAATTTCTTGCTTTCGAGCTGCTAGGTTGGCAGGAGCTGGAACTAAAGACGGGAGCTCACTCCGTCATGCGGCAACTTGGGTCTCGAACTGCTGAACTACCGACCTTCCACAGCCTGCAGTTCAACGTCTTAACCACTTGAGCCACCGCAGCTCCTTGAGACTCCTTAAGGTAGAGAAAAACGGGGTATCAAAACCGACTCTTCTTCTTCTATCTAGTTGCCAGGAAAGTTGCACTACTGCAGGGACAGATGACAATGGAAATCTCATTGGTCGTTACAATGCTACAGGACCCAAATATTGCTCAGGAAAATCCCAAGACATATTCCAATGCATCATTAAGCAACAAATTCCCAGGGCTGGCAGTCGAGTCCCGTGACAGCTACGGGCAGGTGAGCCGCTAGCAGTTTCGTGAATTGCCCAGTGAAGAGCTCAGGCTAGACTACTAATACTCAATTCAAACACACGTGTGTATCGTTCAAATGTTCCCACTGGCTATGTGTAACTGAGATGTGTTGAGTTGGAAGGGTTATGAGGCAGCATGGCTTTCTATCACTGGTGTGATCCTTGAAACCCGTCTCACACAACACTCTCCACTGATGCTCCCGTGTGTCGGTCCACCAAGAAACACTGTTGGCTTCCTCATTTCTGGTCTGGATGGACTGGGGCCATGGGGGGGGGGGAGACGGAGAGAATGTTTGACCACATTATGTGACAAACATTCTCACCACTAACAGTGGTTTCTAAAAAACAAACAAACTAACAATGGCTGGGGGGTTAGTGTGGCCTTGGTGATAGTTATAAGTTAATATTCAGCAGGTACAGATCTCCTGGGCCCAATTTGGCCAAGTGAATGACACCAACTGGCTCTCCCATTTCCTTTCTAGGATGGAGAAAAGCGGCATCTATGGTAGAAGCCTGTTGGAATGGGCAAACCATTCAGAGGTCCATTGGTGGCTATTAGCCACAAGGTATAGATAGAAACTCACAGTCTGGGCCAAGTGATGCACTGTATTCTTGGTGCTTGGGGGGGGGCTCAACAGTGGGTGGGCTTCTAGTGTCCTGGCCCCACTGCTGGACCTCCTGATGGCACCCGGTATTTTTGGCCACTATGTGACACAGAGTGTTGGACTGGATGGGCCCCTGGCCTGATCCAACATTGGCTTCTCTTATGTTCTTATGTTATGTTCTTAAACCACTTTAAAATGTATAGGAAAGACTGAGGCATGTCTGCTCCCGATCCATTTCTAGAAGCTGTTTGCTAAAAGGAAAGTGGGCTGTTTGGGTTGATAGTGATGACTGCTGCGAGCCCTCTTGTGAGGGTTAGAATAAAAAAAAAGGGGGTGGGGACTCTCACCCCAAAATCAGGATTAAAATAATCAAGATAACCCCCGGTGTGGTCACGCAGAAGGAAGGTCGCGGCCATGTCAGCAATCCAAACGGCACGTCTAGTCAAAGGTTGGTGTCAGAGAAGTCAAACGTCAAGCTAAAATCAATAGCAAAGGGTTTTGTTCATGAGGTCGGGGAGCAAGGAATTGGAATCTGGAGGCAAGGAGCAAAACTGGGCA